ATCTCTGTGACTGAACCTGTCACAGGAACATTAATAAAACTGCTAAAAGATAGTGGACCTTGTTCTTGTGATTGTATGTGTTACTTGCCTATGGTTTCATGTGTTCCTATGAGCTGTAGATCCAGAACAAACAGAGATAACTCTGTTCAACTCGAGACTATAGCTGCTAGAGCCAAACCCACTGTAGTATAATTAAAATTAAATACAATAAAAGGCTAAATGGCCTAGCAGGAGAAACACTATTTAAAACCTGGAGACTTCTGTATTGTTTTTAGCACAGTTGACTCCAGAAAAACAAGGAAAAGGGGTCTGTTTAAAAGGAAAAACATTTACTAACTTTTAATAACTATTGTTCTTCGAGATGTGTTGCACATGTCCATTCCACTCTTGGTGTATGCATATCCCGCACACAGTCAATGGAAATTTTTTCCCCTCAGTGGTACCTCTGAGGGTGGATTGAGCATACTCTGCAGCCAGGCACCATTGGCATTGGTATAGAGGGCCCTGCCGATACAGAGCTCCCTCAGTTCCTTCTCTCTGGAAACCTCAAAGCAGAGGTGTAAGCGGGTTGTGGAATGGAAATGTGTGACACACTGTGCCTCAGAATGACACCCTCTGACCCCCGTATTCACCATTCATATATGGTTGTGATATTTCATACAAAGCATGCCATGTAAAGTATCATATCAAAGGCCATGATCTGCTGAAACTGGTTCTTCTGTCCAAATATGTGTCTCATTAGTGTGTATAAAGTTATGAGATTATTCCATATGGTTGTTACTAAAATAAGCTGTACGTTTGCTTGCGGCATGCAAAGGATCCCTGCCCAGGTGGGGGTCAACAATCTATTAATCAAATGCATGATTCAACTATGCAAGCAACACACAATGGGAACTGATCATTTACTGTGGCTCAGCAAAGCCCACCAGGACATGCCTTGGCTAGTGTCTGCCAGGCACATGGGACAAGGATATAAAATAAGGAACAGTGCAACATGATGGGGCCTTTTTCCTATTCCACCTACTCTGGAAGAAACTGGGATGCCAAGAAGACGAAGGTCATCTAAGGAGAGGGGTCCACACTTCAGGAGGGAAGTCTGTGCATTAAGGACTGTAACATCCAGTGGGGTAAGTAAATTTCTTGAGTCAAATCCTGTTTAGTTTATAGAATATAGAGTGGGTACTTATTTTTATTTTCTTTGGTAAACATCTCTCTCCTTATATACCTACCACTTATAACCACTTAAAATCTATTTTTCTGTAGTTAATAAACCTGTTTTATATTTTACCTAAAACGGGGTGTTTGCTTGAAGTGCTTGGGAAATCTCTGTTCATTGTACAAAAGCTGGTGCATGTCCTCTCCATATTGAGGGAGGGGGGACTGGGTAATAAACTTACACTGGTCAGGCTTCTGACCAGGGCAAGACGGTACAGCTCTGGGATCCTAGGCTGGGGAACTGTGGGGAATTAGCTGGTGCCTTTCTCTGTGTGATTCATGAGGCGCTTTGGGTGCCTTCATGCAATTTGGCTGGGTGTGGGGCTCCATCTGCTGTTGTGCTGAGTGGTAAAAGCTCCTGGTGGAATTTGCTGTTTGTCACTAGCAAAGCATTTTGAGAGACAGCCCAGGCTGAGAGTTAAGGGGGCACAGTAGTTGCACCCCGGGGATCCCATTACAACATATTCTACACATTCTGAGAACCACAGTTATGAAAGCTGATATTGCTGCCACGTGAAAGTGGAAATTGTTAAGGCTTGCTGTTTCAGGTGCAGCAGATACTTGAGTATTTGTTGGGTGGAAGAGTGCATCACTGAGACCCCAGTTTGACATGCCCAGATAGAGAACCGCTTTTATTTTGAAAGGTGTTGGCCCTGGTGAAGGGCTTTCTGCTACCTAGTAAGACCTGGCAAACTTGTCTGACCAAGCCTGCTCTTTGGGATATAACCATGGAGCCTCCAGGCCATTACATGAAGAAATTGAAGGTTCAGGTGGAGCAACTAACCGTGGTCCTGAGAGATTAAATCTGTGTGCAACAGGAGTGAGATTGGAGTTGCCACTGATAGCTCCAGTAGAGTGGAGAACCAGTGTTGGGCAGGGCCATGCTGGGGATATTAATATAAACCAGGTGTGGGCCTGCTTGATCTTTAATAGCACTCTGAGTAGGAATGGGATTGGGGGAAAAACATAGTAAAGTTTTCTCATCCTGAATAGCAGGAAGGCATCTGTGATGGAACCTGGGCTATGACTTTGTAGAGAGAAGAACTGGTGACATTTTCTGTTGTATTTGGTCTATTTGTGGTGTCCCCCATTGCTGGAAAATGCACATGGCTACATCCAGGTGAAGAGACCATTTGTGGTGACTGCAGACAGACCTGCTCATGAAATCTACTAGCTTGTTATGCACCCCTGGAAGGTAAGAGATCTTGAGGTTGATTGAATGAGCAATGCAAAATACCCATAGGTGAACTGTTTCCTGGCACAGGAGGGATGATCGAGCTCCTCCATGCCTTTTGCAGTAAAACATCACTATGATGTTGTCTATAAGGACAAACAGGTTTCTCCCCAATATGAGGTAAGAAAGCCTGACAGGCAAGATAAATCACCAGTACTGAAGGACGAGCAGTCAGGAGTACATGAGGTTGGCACAATTCCACGTGCAGTAGCGATGCTGTCCGTTTTCCTGTGTTTGCTGGTACCAACAATGTCGACTCTTGTACTTCTGGCGATAACGGCACCAACAGGGTTGGGATGTTCCTGGCAGCCACAAATGCCTCCAGAATGGTCGGTTTTGAGACAGTGTCATTGTGGTGCCGCAGATGTAGAAGGAGCTCCTTCCTTCTCCGGACTCAATGGAACTGCCTAGGAGCTGGAGTCAACAATGTCTTATTCTGCAGTACCAAAGCAGAAGAGTGCTTGGGCTTGGACCACAGTCTACTCTTATCCCCCTGCCTATACTTTGGTGCCAGGGATTTCCCCCTTTTGGCAGTCTGCTTCTTATGCCTCTTCTTACACCCTGGGGATGGTGAGCAGTGTCGGGACGCAGGCATGGTAGGAGACACACTCCTTAATTACACTGAGGCACTCAGTGCCAAGTCTGACTAACCTGGCTCAGATGGAGATGTCACAGATGCCTCCATGAGTACAAACTTTAGCCTGGCTTCACCATCTTTCTTCATGTGAGGTTTAAAGTCTCTGCAAATTTGGCAACACTCTGCAATATGAGCTTTCTGAAGGCACTTCAAGCAACTTGAGTGCAGCTCGCTCATGGGCATAGCCTTATAGCAGGAAACACTGGGCTTGAAGCTGAGTAACCAAGGCATCCCTCAGTACTGGGATTTGAGTGAAATCCTGAGATGGTAAAAAAAATCTAACTAATTAAACACTAATAACCTTAATAACACTAATTATTTACAATACAAGAGAACACAGTCCACTGGGAGAACTTTCAAATGAAAAAAGAGAATTTCCAGAGACCATCCCAGGTGGTAAGAAGGGACTCAGGTGGCTCAGGGTTGGGTGGGCCCTTTATACCTATGCCAGCGGTGCGCAGCAGCAGAAGGCACTCAAGCTACCCTGATGGATACCACTGAGGGGAAAAAATTCTAGTGACTTTGTGCAGAATGCGCACACACCAAGAGTGGAACCCACATGTGCAATCACTCAAGGGAGAGCTAACATTTAACAAACACTTAATCTATTTACATTAGAGACTGCCTAACTATTTGCAAGTACCTATAGGTGAGAAAGAGAGCTGAAAGAAGCAAACCTTTAAGGAACACAGGGAGCTCCAATTCCATCACAGTCAGTGAGACGGAACAGAGAGGGAGTAGGAGCAGCCCTGTCCTTTATAACCTACAGCTGTGAGCACAAGGACACAGTGCACATGTACAACCCCAACGGTAATTATAGCAAAAATCTTCAACTCTTGTGCACTGGTCACATACACCTACAATAGAACTATATGTGTGCAATCACTTCAAGGAGAACCACTACTGCAATGTGCTTTGTTCCACTATAAGGGGATCAGGGCCCATAATTACTTGCCATTCTTGAGTTCCAACCTGAACTCCAAAACTAATCTGCAAAGCAATTGTTATCGGGTCAAATGTGGAATAAGGAGCCAAAAACTAGAGAGAAAAAACAAAGGAAAAATATCACATGTACAAGTCAGAAAACACTCCTGAATTTAATTGGTTTTTCAAAACCATGGTCTAATAGCCACGTCAAAAGGAAGGGTAGAGGAGTTAGTGACTGAACATGAGAACATTTTCAACTGTCATTCTGTGCCTCCTATATAATATGCAATGTAGATGAAGGACCATACTGTCTCATGTGCACCAGGACAACCAGCCCATTTTAAAAAAACAAACACCTATACTCCAAGATGATTATGATAGGGTGTATAGACCCCACTGATGAGGATGGTGTCAGAGAGGTGGTGGGGGAAGGGCTAGCCCCACCCCTCTGGTCTTGGTAAAGAGGAGGTCTTTTAAAGGGAGGAAACTGCAATCAGATGGAGAGGGAAGATTGCCCTAAGTAGGAGGTGGCTGGAGTGACTCCTGGAGCCACAGGGGAACTCCCATCCAGGAGACCTTCTCCCCGACACTGTGGGCAGTGCAGCAAACTTCCACAGTAAACTGGACAGAGTAAGCCTTACTCAGCAGCCCAGACAGAGAGGTTTCTCAAAACCCACTACACAGGCTGTGGACTTTCCTTCCCTCCATGAGGGATACTGGGAAGGGGAAACTCTCAAGTGCATTTGGGCACTTAACTTTCCTTTTGATTCTGCCATCTGGAGAGACAAAAGAAGCCCTGCAAAGGGCAGGGCCTCCTTGCAAAACCTAAGGAACTGGGGCATGTGTTGGATCCACCCAGTGTAAATAACGGGGTGCGGTCAGATTCTCCCACGATCTGAAAGAAAAACCTTAGGGGATTCCTTTACAATGACCTTATCAAAAGACATAATTGTTGTATTACAAACTTTAAAACCAAGCATTACTTACGGGGTATATGACCACATGATACAGTTTCCTCCTCCAGGGCATTTGCAAACACAGCCTCTAGCTGTATTTGTCTTATCATCATCATGAGGGAAACCAAGAGAATGTCCCATCTCATGTGAAACAAGGATTGCATCATAGAGCACTGATATATCTTTTGCCTGTATACAATTAAACAAAACACAAAGATAAGAAGGAGTTATAAATTACATATGAACATAAAAAGCTAAATTTTAAGAGCTGTGTGATAGCATGAACACACTGGATAATTCCATTTGACAACATAAATCTAGAACACTGCAGAACCCCAGAAGAGAACTTTCAGAGTGAAGGAATAATTTCTTCACACTGCCGTCTGAGATCCTTTTAAGAGGGGAGAAAATGAACCACCCACAAGTGATAAATAAAATAAAAAAAAATATGTCTAGCTCTGCCAAGGTCCCCAAGGCATAGAATGTTATTCAATAATTCCTACATCAAGTCCATAACTTCTGGTTGTGCTAAAGCATTTCTTTTATAAGGACATCAATTCCTGATTTAAAGACTCTATGTGATGAAGAATCCAACATAACATTTAACAAGCTGTACTAATGGTTAATTAACTTCACTGTGCCTTATTTCCCATCCAAATTCATCCAGACTCAGATTCCTCTCTTTCATAAGCTAAATAGACTGAACTTTTAAAATCTCTCCCCCTAAAGCAGTTTTTTTCAGACTGAATCATTCTTATACCTCATCGGAACCACTTTCAATTTTTCACCATCCATGTGAAGGTACAGAGTAGGTCATGAGGGATATGGAAAGTATAGACCCCTTGTTTGGAAGATTAGGAGGAAGAACTTAGTCATAATGGATCACTGATATCAACTACAGATAACAGTAGGTAAATAACTTTTATCTATTGTTTCCATAGCTTGGTTGCAGGAAGTCCACAATCATTTTTTACCACTTTTAAATAATTGCACAGAACACAGACCTATGGGATTCTTGACTTCATTCTGGTGAGAGTAAGGACTAAGACAGAAAATATGGTTTAATTTCTCCCCACTTTGGACAGTGCCTGAATATTTACTTGTAAAATTATCAAGTGGCACAGTGTTCCCTAGGAAGCTATTATGACAAAAACACTGAGCTCTGGGTGTATCAGCTGGGGAAATAGGTCTCTAGCTGAGTCACTTTCAGTTCAGGGTGCATCACAGTTCCAAAATTACTGACCCTCTTTGGGGTCTTCAATCTTCTTTCAGAGACTGGTTCAACTCCTTCTTGGGTAGTAGGCAACTCCGCATGTGGCTGGTGTGGGAACCCAGGCCCTCCCACTACTCTGGGTCCCAAGGCAGGGACCCTATAAATAGCAGCTGCCTGCTGTATCCCTGTACTAATTGCTGAATTTCACTGGGGCACTTCCCCAATGTCCCCCAATACCTTTCTTTCACCTTTAACTAGGGCTGAAGTCTTGCTTAAGTGCCAGCAGCCACCCAGGAGCTCCTTTTCCTCCCCCGGAACCTGCCAGTAACTGCTCTGTCCCTGGTACTGCAGTTTCTTGAGCCAGTCAGGAGCACCATCCTCGCTCCTCTGGCTCCAGACAGCAACTGACTCACTCTGTTACTTCAGCTCCTTTTATATTGGCCGGCTGGGCCAGGGTTGGCTGCTTCCCTGCAGCCGCTCTAGGCCACTTAAAGAACTCACCTTCCCTGCTCCTTTCTGGAATGGGGTGTGTGTGTTCTTTCTGTGTGCCATGCCAGCTCTGCTCAGAAAGCCGATACAGCAGTCCTCAATCAAACTGCCCAATAAGACCACAGACCCATTTCAGTAGTGAAGACGCCTGGTCAAGTTTATTGTCAATGAAGCACAGTATGTATGCCCATTACAATGAACACAACTCAGCGAATCGCTGGCCAAAGACTCTTCCTTTGAGGGTCCTTTTTATACCGTGATACAAACAAGTTATGTATTGCCCATCTGATGTGGTTAGTTACCACCCTTTACTTTGTACATGTTGGTTTGATCAAAACATCTCTTTTCATCATGCTGTCATCTGACCTTATTTTTAAGAGAGGTCATCATGTTCCTGTTATTTTTGGGGAGGGTGTGTTCTGGTACCACCCTTCTGGAATGTGCTTGCATGAGTATCCTTTATCTAGTACTTCTCAGGAGTGTGTGTGTTTTTGCAATATCAGCCCTGTTCTTGCCTCTGGTGTATGCCGATATAAGAGACTTAGGCAGCTCTGCACCGTCTCAGTTCCTTCTTGCTGGCGAACTCTTAACAACAAGCAGGAGGTGAATAACAACAAGAGGAATATCAAGCACAACTAGAAAAGTGATCTTGCCTCTGTACACAACATTGTTAAGACTACTACTAGAACAGTGTGGCCAGTTCTGGTTCCACACTTCAAGAAAGTTGTGGAAACACTAGAGACAGTTCAAATGACAGCCACAAAAATGAACCAGAGGCTGCAAAAAACCCCCCACAAAACGAGCTACAAACCTTTCTGTAACTGTTTTTCTTTGAGATGTGTTGCTCATATCCATTCTATGTTAGGTGTGCACATGGTGCGTGCACAGTTGCAGGACATTTTTCCCTCAGTGATATCCGTGGGGCCAGCGCTAGCACCCTCTGGTGTTGCGTACTCGTATGCCGATATAAGAGACTTAAGTGGCTCTGCACCGTCTCAGTTCCTTCTTGCTGGCGAACTCTTAACAACGGGCAGGAGGGTGGATCGTGGAATGAACATGAGCAATACATCTTGAAGAACAAATTATGGAAGGTTAGTAACCATTTTTGATTCTTCCAGTGCTTGATTATGTCCACTCCACGTTAGGTGACTCCCAAGCAGTACCTTTGGTGGGATCAGAGTTCATAGACATGCATATTGCAACACTGCTCTACCAAACCCAGCATCATCTCTAGCCTGCTGGGTGATGGCATAGTGGGATGAAAAAGTATGCACTGATGACCAAGTTGCTGCTCTACAAATATCCTGAATTAGGACTGGGCCAGAAATGCCACTGAGGAAACTTGAGCTCTCGTTAAGTGGGCAGGGAAGATGGCAAGAGTTGGGGCACCCACCTCCTCATAACACGAGTTAAAGCAGGACGTGATACAGGATGAAATTCTTTTGGCCAAAATTGGCAGGCCTTTCATCCTATCTGCTATTGCCACGAAGAGCTGCATGGACTTATGGAATGGTTTGGTCCTTTCTATATAAAAGGCCAGGGCCTGTCTAATGTCCAGCGTGTTGAGATGCTGCTCCTCCCTATTCCTGTGCTGTTTCAGGGAGAAGCCTGATTACTATGGAACTACAGAACCACCTTCAGGAGGAACACGGCTTAGGGGTGAAGTTGTGCTTTGTCCTTAAAGAACATCATATCTGGAGTTCTGATATTAGGGTCCTAGATCTTGGAGACCCTCCTAGATGAGGTAATCACTACCTGGAAGGTGACCTTCCAGGAGAGGTATGACAAGGGACATGATGCCAGTGACTCAAAGGGAGGGCCTGTGAGTCTTGACAGGACCACATTAGATCCCACAGTGGAACAGGTTCACGAATCTGCATGTGTAGTTTCTTTAAGGCCTTGAGGAAGTGAATGAACATTTCGTGAGGAAAAAACTGACCTACCATCCACTGGAGGATGGAAAGCAGAAATGGCTGGTAGGTGTACCTTAACTGATGAAATGATTAGGCCCTCCTGTTTCAGATGAAGCAGATATTCTAGCATGGAGTGAAGAGGTGACCTAGCAGGTGAGAGGCCTCGTTGGGATGACTACATGAAGAAATGCTTCCACTTGGTGAGGTAAATCGCTCTAGTAGATGGTTTTGTACTTCCTAGCAATACCTGGTGGATTTCCTTCAAATAGGCCAGCTCCACTGGGTTTAACCACAAAGCTTTGACGCAGTCAGTGGAGGGCCTTGAGATTCAGCTGGAGCAACTGGCCATGATCTTGCGAGATCCAGTCTGGGAGGGGAGGGAACAACATCTGCATTGCTACTGAGAGGTCCAATAACATGCCAAACCAGAGCTGGTGTGGCCATTCTGGGGCTATAAGAACAGCTTTACTTTGAGTAAGACTTTCATGAGAGGAATGGGAGGAAATGCATAGAACAGGTGCTTTGCCCAAAGGAGCAGGGAGACATTTGTGAGCAAAACCAGGCTGCACCCACATAGAGAGCAAAACTGCTAACAATTCCTGTTTTGCTTGGTTGAGAACAGGCCTATGAGGGGAGTCCCCCACAGCTAGAAGATGGTCTTGGCTATATTGGGACAAAGGAACAACTCATGGTGAGAGGAGAAAAATCTGCAGAGGTGATCTGCCACATTGTTCCAGGCTCCCAAAAGGTGAGAAGCATCGAATTGGTTCGAGTGCTTCATGCAGAATTCCCACAAGTGAATGGCCTCTGACATGGTGGGAAGAGCGTGCCTCTCCCTGCCTGTTGATGTAAAACATGACTGCTGTGTTGTCCTTAAGGATTTGCACAACTTTGTCTGCAGGCGGACATTTCTGAGATATCTGACATTTATATGCAAGGAGAGCTCCTTCTGAAACCAAAGATCTTGAGTCCTGAGGTGCTCAAGGTGAGCCCCCACAACCCAGATCAGATGTATCCGAGATTAAGGATACTGAGGTTTGGGGGCTGACAAAGAGAATGGTCAATCCTACCATCTGGGGTACCTCCAACAATCTAGAGAGGTGAGAACCTGGACAGGAACTGTAAGTAACAAGTCCAAATGATGATGGTTTGGTGAGTACACTGAAGCCAGCCACACTTGAAGAGGTCCAAGGTGCAGTCTCGCATGCTGTACAACTTTATGTGCACACAGCCATATGACCCAACTATCTGAGGCAGAAATGGGCTGTCGTGAGGGGGCAGGCCTTGACCCACAATATTCGGGATGACATTGCCTGGAAGCGAGCTGCTGCAAAGAAGGCTTTGGTCTGGGAGGAATCGAGCACCGCACCTATAAACTCTATCCTCTGAATGGGGATGAGCACTGATTTTTGCTCATTTATCAACCGGCCCAGTGCTTGAAAGGTAGATTGGACCAGGTGGATGCTGGCTCTCACCAGGGCCTTGGACCAGCCGTTGATCAGCCAGTTGATGAGGCAAGGGTAGACTCGTACTCCTTGCCTTATGAGGAAGGCTGCCACTATTGCCATGCATTT